TATATATATATATATATATATATATATATATATATATATATATATATATATATATATATATATATATATATATATATATATATATATATACAAAAGATCATCAAAGGCTAACTGCGGTTGTCAAGGGGGAAGGGATTATTAATGATGGGGATTAGCAACCCTCTTACTAACAATATACCCTATCAGGTCGACCTCCTCGCGGTTCTTCCTGGAAACCATAGTGACTGGTTCATTGTTGAATTTGTCACGATGGACTAACTGACTTACTTTATTTTCACTTATCATCCCTCACTGGTGTCTCACTGGTGGTTTTTTTTTATATATACAAATAAATATATATAAATAACAAATAAACTTACACATATATAAGTTAAGACATATTATAAACGAAAATGAGAAAAATATATAGTACTTAATGCTCCTTAAAAAAAGAGATATAAATTAAATCGACTTAACCTGTAGATAAAAAGAACACAGTTAAGTTATGTAAGTTAACATTGTACAGAAATAAATATTAATGACAATTAATCAATTAAATTAAATCGATCCGCACGACGGTGTATAATATAATAAATTAATGGCATAAGTGATTTAATTTACATTTATAATAATTGCGTAGTTATAAAGGAAAATACCATACTATACCTACATAGCTAAGCACCATGCAACTAGGTCCTACGTTTAATCCACCTATGGAAGGAAATGTTTAAAGGCATAGATGAGCCACTAAACTTCGACTGACCAGTAAATAATCAGTTGAATAGTAATTTTTTTTTATGCAACTTAGAATAGCAAACAAGCTGACGGCCCACTTGATAGAAAGTGGTAACCGTCGCCTATAGACATGAGCAGTACCATGGACATAACAGAGTATACTGTTTCGCCCATGATACCCCGAATGCGTTACCATTCCTGAGGACTCAGGTGTTTTTCCTCTGTACCCAGTAAATTCACGCCATATCCCACCCTTCAAACTGAAACACAGATTTGATAATGGACACACAAAATTTGTTTAATTTATTTATGTATATAATATTTTTTTCGTCAAGAATCCTCCCAGCCCGCTTTTGGCTTATGGTCACAATAGAATATCAGTGTTTTGCTCTTTTAAGGGCGAAACAATAAGCTGAATTGTGACCATTTTGTATTACTGCGGCACACCCACTAAAAATTATGTTACTTCTTTTATGTACCTCCGATCAAATTGTTTATAATTACTCCTCTCCATCCAAAGGTTGCCTGGAAGATATCGCCTTTAGCGACAAGGTCACCCATTGTTTTCTTATTGTGATTATTTCTAGTAATTGTTTATATTTATAATAAGATTCCTATTGTAATCTTTTGGAGGAAACAATAAAGAGTATCTATCTACTTTCTTTTTGTTTTGTTTTTTTTTTCGTATATGTATTGTTTTTCTTTTTTTAAGTATGCGCCAATATTTAATGATATTTGTGTGTTGTAAGTGAAGCAAATAAGTTATTTATTTATCTAAAATAAAGTGTAATAGATTGAAATGTAAAGGGGAGTGTTCTGAGGAATTGTTCGGATTGATACCTGCTACTGATTTTCACCACCGTACAACCCGCCACAAACTAAATTTTCATCCCAATCATCTGGACGAGTGGTGGTTTTTCACCGTGCATGTTTCAAGGCACTTTCTACCACGCACAACCATTCTTTGGAATCAATTTCCAGCAGCAGTATTTCCGAACCGATACGACAACATAACCTTAAAAAAAAGAGCATATTCCTTTTTAAAAGGCCGGCAGCACACCTACAATGCCGCTGGTGTTGTGGGTGATCATGGGCGGCGGTAGTCACTTACCATCAGGTGAGCCGCATGCTCGTTCGCCCCCTGTGTTGTAAAAAAATATAGTAATAGTTACAATTGTGTTACACAAAAAAAAAACAACTTCGGTTGCGGCAAAAACTGTTATTTTGTTTTTTTAACTAAACTTTTGAACGCATTTTGATAAAATTTCTATGGAACTAATTTGTAAGTATATTCTTTTTGAAGTCGGTTAAAAAAAAGCATAGATTGCGTATCATTTATTATGTTCCGTTGACAAGATATCTCCATTTATTAGGCTCGTTAAAGGCAGTTCTCCCGTAAATTGGCCGATACTCGAAACCTTATTACTGGTGTTAATATAAAATATTTATGGGGCGGATAACGAGTGTGACCTACTTACAATATTGCGGGATGCTTTTTACATCCTACATTTCTGTGCACGAAGCCTCAAATGTCAATCCAATTGATCCCTTCTACCCCTAACAATTATAAAAAAGATATTTTCTTATGCATTAAAGAATAATATTCAAACTGACAATCCAGCTGATAGAAAGTGGTAATCGTCTCCGACAGACATACAACTCTAGAGATGGTTAATATTTGACCATGGTAATAACAGACTTTGTACAAAAGTCGTTTGCTTGGACACCTCTGTCCCATTCGTGTTTCTACCGTGAAGCAGTTGTGTTTGCATGGCTGTGTTTCGGTTTGTAGGGTGGGATATGGCAGTGAATTTACTGGGTACAGAGGAATAACACCTGAGTCCTCAGGAATGGCAACGCATGGGGGGGTATCATCCCTACAGTGCATTTGGGGTCCGTCTTGATAAAATTTCTTTAAGACCAATATATAAGTTTTAAAAGATAGAAAAGAGAATGTTCCAAATAGGTTTACAACTCACAGAGTTATGAGATTTCAAATATAAAAAAAATATAACCGAATTGGGACCCCCTTATTTTTGAAGTCGGTTGAAAATAATCATCCTCAGGTTTTCATTTAGATAATCCAAAAAAAGCTGAAAAGGTTTTTTATAATAATTACCGCGAAAAGAAAGCGATGAATTTGCATACTAAATGATTACATTATTCCCAAGTCCCGAGCTTTAAAGGCCGCGAAAGCTTTGTTATATAATATAAACCATATAATCTAGGGGGAAAAGATCATTAGTAATGCGGATTACCAGCCCCATAGCTAGTATTATACCCTGTCAGGTCGATCTCACCATGGTCCCTCCTGGAAACAATCGTGCCCAATTCCAGGTATTCGTCACGATGGACTAACTCACCTACTTTTTCATTCTCATCTGTCATCCCTTACTGGTGCCCCACCAGTGTATACTGTTAGCACAGGCGTGATAACCATACCATTTTCACCCATTAAAAAAATACGCTGTCAGGTCAACCTCCCCGCGGTCCCTTCTAAAAACAATCATGCTGAATTCCAAGTATTCATCACGATAGGCTAATTTGAACTTGTTTTTTCATTCTCACCTCACCTTCACATTCTTACAGGATGATAATCCCTCACTGGAGCCCAGCCAGCGAACTGTCTGCACAGGCGGAGTTACCATTCTGTTATCTCGCTTTTTTTTTATATATGTATGTTGTAATTTGTGTGCTGTAAGTGATGCAAATAAATTATATATCTATCTATCTTAATTATAATTTTACATAGATCTTTTTTCATTTAATAATTACCTCTTGTCGGGGCAAGTAATTCATGTATTCTCTTCCAGCAGCTCTATGGAATAGAGCCATATCTTTACCTCCCTATACGACATGACACCAAGTGTTTCTTTTATCTGTCCCATGTAGTTATTTCTCGGATTCCCCCTTCCCCTTTTTTACATATTTAAAATTTATATGAATGGGCTTAATTAAATTAAATGCAAAATTTTTATTTTAACTTTTGTCTGTCTATATATTTGTTCCGGTATCATGCAAAAACTACTACACCAAACAGGATGTAGTTTTCACATTTATATACATGAAGGTCAAATTAAAATCTGATGTGTATTTTTTTTTCATTATACATACAATGCCAATCAAACTGAAGGCCCACCTGATGGTAAGTGGTAACCGTGAGCTTATTGTCAAAGTTTTTTCAAGAGATTATAGCACGGGTTTTAAAAAAGAAAGGGTAAAAAAGTTTCTACAGGATCAGCAACGTGTGCATAAATGCATTCATGCTTGTTTACCACCTCAGTGGTGTAAAAAAAGTAGCAACCATCGCTTATAGACACGATCACGCTCTTGATATCTATGTCCACGTTACATTATCACATAAAAAGTAATTTTTTATACCTCAAAGGTTATACCTTTGAGGTATAAAAAATTACACCTGAGTCCTCAGGAATGACAACGCATGGGAGGTATCATGGGCGAAACAGTATACTCTGTTATATCCATAGTACTGCTCATGTCTATAGGCGACGGTTACCACTTTCCATCAGGTGGACCGTCAGCTTGTTTGCCATTCTAAGTTGTATAAGAAATAGTTGGCAAACAAGCATACAGCCCGTCTTATGGTAAACGGTCACTAGCTATGGACACCTGCAACACTTGGGTTGTCACGTGCGCATTGCAACCCTAGAAAGTAATTAGAAAGAGACGAGAACGGTCGTATTATTTTTATACACAGCAAGGATTGTAGTATTTTCTAAGAGTTCACCTTTCGCGTCCGTAACATCCGTGATACGGATCCAGGGTTAGAATATTCGCCGTCATAAATATTTTCAAAACGTGGGTTCACAGAATATATTATTACATAACATAAAAATATTTTTATATTTAAACCCGTAATTTAAGCCATGAATTTAAATAAATGATATATATATATATATATATATATATATATATATATATATATATATATATATATATATATATATATGCAGGGAGTTAGTGGATGCAGATAGCTCAGGACCGTTCTTTATGGCAGCCTATGGGGGAAGCTTATGTCCAGCAATGAAACTGAAATGATAATGAGATATATATATATATACATATATAAGTATGGTAAGTATATATTTTATATATCGTCCACCCCTGTGCCTACCTAAGTACAACTGACGTAAGCTTACTGCGCCATTGCATGTTTTACTCTTGACTTCCATAATTACTCCATACCTAAGGAATACGCAGTCATGCGGCGTCCATTATGTGTGCTAATGTTGTGACACGGTCTAATTATAGCCGTTTTGTTTCAGATTCCTTCGGTTTCACTAAAGAGGCCATTATTGTAAGTATCTAAGTTACTTTTATGGCATTATACGATGCGTTAATAATGAAAAATTTGTTTTAATTTTTTAACAAAAATAATTTTATTCCACGTAATAAAATTGACTCCGATTGTGGCAACACCAGTTATTTTGATTTAAAAACTTTTTTTTATTTCTGTGATTGATTGATTTTGTTGAAGTTTTTATTTATACAACTTAGAATGGCGAACAAGCTGACGGCCCACCTGATGGAAAGTGGTAACTGTTGCCTATAGACAAGCAGTATCATGGACATAACAGAGTATACTGTTTTGCCTATGATATCCTCATGCCTTGCTATTCCTGAGGACTCAGGTGTTATTCCTCTGTACCCTGTAAATTCACTGCCATATCCCGCCCTTCAAACCGAAACACAGCCATGCAAACACAACTGCTTCACGGTAGAAACACGAATGGGACAGAGGTGTCCAAGCAAACGACTTTTGTACAAAGTCTCCCTCTAGTTGTTTCTATGTAAGTAATCTGTAATCATATATATACTTTAAATATACGATAAAAAAATCCAAATAACTTTGCAAGTAATAATAAACTTTATGAAAACATAAAAAATATACAATTGAATAGAGAACCTTTTTATTTTTGAAGTCACTTAAAAATGATAATGCATGAAAAAAAAATTAGCAGCCATCAATTCGTGTGACAACGTTTTTGCATAAAAAAACGTCCTTCGCATTACCAGTAATTTGATAACAGATTACACAAATACTGCACTGATCTTGTTTGTGAATACATACAATTAGAGTCACTGTGACATTGGCGGTGTGACCTTGACGGTGTCACATTCGTCGTATCATTTTTGTCACACCTCTAACCAATGGCGCGGATTATTTGTCTATTGTCTTGTTTATGCCCATGAAAATATTGTTAGTGTTATATTGTATCACCTTCATAGTGTTACAGTAGACGTATTGTCTCTGGCTGCTGCATCTGATATTACAGATACCAGAATATTAATAGATTGATAACATAACTCTACTACGACTTACGTTCACGTGATCAGGATAAAAGGTGACCTATACCCTTCTGCATAAGGGGGGAAAGAGATTGTTAGTAGTGGGGTCAAATAGCTCTATTACTAGCAATATACCCTGTCAGGTCGACCTCCACGTGGTTCCCCCTGGAAACCATCGTGACTAATTCTTGTTTAATTCTTCAGGATGGGCTAACTGACCTACTTTCATCTTCATCTATCACCCTTTACTGGTGCCCCGCCAGCGTATCCCGTTAACGCAGGGTTACCATACCATTATCACCCATTAAAAAAAGCACCCTTCTCCATAACACAGAGTATGTGTATACCAAATTTCATACTGATTAGTTAAGCCGTTAAGGCAATAACAAACAAACAAACAAACTGACTTTCACATTTCTAAAATCAATAAGTATTATGCGGTAAAGGTTATTTTTACAAAATGTAATTAAAATCGTCAAGCAGTTTTTGGAGATTTACAGAAACAAATAAGTAAACAACGGAATTTTTTATATACAATAAGATGTATAATTACCCTTCCAAATAAAAAAAAAACCTAGAACTGAACTCAATATCACTTACAACGCCATCTATTAAAAGCGATCCTAAGTAATGATTCTCATACAAAATTGCCTATTTTTCAATTTTTTGATTTTTCAACTAAACTTTAGGGTTTTTAAACTTTTTTTTTTTCTTTTAAACTACCCCTGTATTATTACGAGCAAAACAAAAAGGAAATATTAAAATCAATGGAGCAGTTGTTGAGTTTTTTGAGTTGAGAGACTAAGGAACGAGGTTTAATTTTTAAATATGCAAATATACAATTTCCGTCATACTCAACGTTCAGGTGTCTTCCTGTTGATACCACGCCAGCTCCTAAGTTATATGAATTCAATGAAATTAATGACTTCGTGAGAACGTCTTTGTTTTGTGACCTTGGAGTGACTTCCTCGGGAAGTAACTAAATATGATTGTTTAATAAAATATTTATTTTCACCTTGAAATCTCTTTCGGAATTAATAGGTAGTCTGCCTAATTAGCGAGGAAGTAAATGATCTCACGATTGTTTTTAGGAGTAAGTAATAATAATATTTATACATTGCATTTATAATGCACAAATATATATATATTAGATCAATAACATTAAGTAATCAATGGTGCATATATTTCTTTATTTAACTTCATACGTGAGCATGGACTTCAAACTAAAAAAACCCTGTGTTATGAAGAACGAAGCAACGTACTGGGAGCACAGTAATAGACCCAAGCTGATACAGAAATGTTTATTTTCTAAATTGAGTCAACCGAGAATGAAGCCAGGGCCACATTTACGAAAAGCAACTTGCCCACCACGTCATGGATTTCATGAAATCCAGATTGTTACTCCATCTCTGTCCCAGTTAGTAGTGAAGGCTCGAAATTTTTAGTTGTATGCAGTGCAGGGAGTCAGTGGATGCAAGTGGCTCAGGACCGTTTCTTATGGCAGTTTATGGGAAATTGCACTGTCTACTGCTGGACATAGACCTCCTCCATAAACTGCCAAACATACATACACAATAAGCATTATATTGTAACTTCTAGACAATAATAGTACATTACTGCAGCGGCCAGCAACTGAGGCATTGAAGGATGAACGTGCAAATGTGGGCCGAGGCGTAGCCGAGGCACACATACGTGAGTCCATCAATGCCTAGTTGTGGCCAAGGCTTGTATAGAACTTTTCTCAAACAATGCTCGGAAATCAAAAACACAATTTTACTTTTTAAGTTCAATGACGAATAACGGACAATAATAATTTTACACGCGCCATAATGTTCCTTTGTTTTTTTTTCAATAAATAGCGTTCTATTTGCAAGCCAGTTCGAAATTTAAATAAAACCTTTTATTAGTTACCTCCTTGGTAGCCATGTTTCGAAGTAAAAGGTCATTCGCTTTTTAAATTACAGGACAGATATGAGTTTACATAGTAATTTATCTGGCCGAAAAACACGACAGATATGGATTTTCATACAAATTTTACCGGCCGCTACCCGCATGTATCTGGCCAGTACGGCAATTTTGATTTATCTCGAAGAAGATTGTCAAGATAATGCTCACGTTTCCAAGCATGTTTGAGAAAAGAATATTTACCTATGTATGATAATCAGCTTACGATTGATCGTATATCAAACGGTCGTGAGTTACCTTCGTGTAACATAAAGGATATAGCTTTAATAATATATTATGAAATAATTTAAGGGGTATATTGTATTGAATATAGTTATTATAACGTAAAAATAATTATAATCAAGGTTTATGTACGATATTATATGAGACAGCACGAACCGCCGTATGTCTGTATGTATTTTACAATGCAGTGAAGAAAATTAAAATTATTCACGGTAATTTAAAAGTCGTAATGAAGTATTCATATGAAACATAAACGACTTTGACATTAAATATATATTTTTTAACATTTTTGATTCAACCGCCTTCAAAAAAGAAGAAGGTTCAGATTCAATTATTTGACAATTATCTTTTTTACCTCATTTTTTACTCTGGCCGTTCTTTTTTTTTTATCTGAAAGAATATACTTTCAAATTGGTTTCGTAGAAATCTTGTCAAAATCGATTTGGTAGTTTAGTTTTTAAATCAAAATAAATGCTTTTATCACAATTGGATCAGATTTTTTTTTGTGAAACGCAATCTTAAATTATTAATGCGTGTTAATGAAATAGTAATTAATGCCTGTGCTAAATATACCCAATCTGGCAACGCTGGGTTGCCAGATTTAGTATGTTTCCCTAATTATAGGTAAAAAAATTTCTAATGACGAAAAAAAAAACTTGCGGGCAATTGCTAGTTTCAAATAAATAGCAACGCTTTATCTAGGCAGCAGAAATAGGTAAGTCTATGACGCCTACATTACAAGTCACTCAAGACTGCCACCAGTAAAAGAACACAAATGTAATACAATTTTATTTCTCTGTAAAAACATTAAATATACCTTATTTTGTAACCGCATAAGGTTTAATACTGTACAACACAAAGTAACCACCACTTAAACAATGATGTTCAACCAGTTTCGTCGACCTTAACACAAAATGGCTGACACTTATGGTATAAACATAAATGCAAATAGTATCTGCATATAAATAGTTTGCTTAGCATATCGCAGGTGCAAAGCAATACATGTTTGCATTCCATAGATTCTGATATTATATAAGTAATTATTATACACAAATATATAGGATAAACAAAGTGATTATTGAAATAACGTCTCGTATGTTACAGTTTAAACGAGTGCAAACTTCTGTTGCCGCTTGATCTCGGCATAGACTGGGTCACCCCTTCCTTTCTCGTGACTAAGGGAACTTGTTGGTCGACAGATGGGCAGCAAGATCCCTCTTTAAACATCAAAATGAAACAAAAGCCTAACTGCAGTTGTCAACCCGTTTATTATGCAAATATTATGCGTCAGCCGACAGTTATCTGGCCGTTTTTGGAAATTCTTCTCACTCTATTCTCCATCTATATATGTATATACATAAAATCTATCTCTTAACCCTCAGAAATAGGGTGGGAAAGGGATTTTCAGCAATGGAGTTTGACAGCCCCATTGCCAGCAATATGCTTTATTAGGTCGACCTCCACATGGTTCCCCCTGGAAACCATCGTGAACGATTCTTGTTGAATTCGTCACGATGGGCTAACTGACCTACTTCAGCCTCACTTATCATCCTTCACTGGTGCTCCGCCGGTGTATACCGATAGCGCAGGCGGGGTTATCATTCCATTATCATAATGATAATGGAAATAACAACTGCAGTTAAAAAAGACTGCAGTTGTCAGCCCGTTTATTATGTGTCAACCGACAGTTATCTGGCAGTTTTTGGAAATTCTTCACACTCTATTCTCCATCTATATATGTATATACATAAGATCTATCTCTTAACACTTAGAAAAAGGGTGGGAAAGGGATTTTTAGCAATGCAGTTTGACAGTCCCATT